AATACGTCAGATCGATTATTAAATAGAACAAAGTAAAAAAAAAAGGAATGCTTAGAGAATAAAAGAAAATATAAATACAAATCTATTTTATCTGATGTAAATTTTAAATATTAAATAATTAAATCGAAAAAGGTGCAAGTGCATGGTACAATCATTATGGAAATAATGAAGAAAAGTTTGTTTGTGCAAAAGTCTTCTCATTGATCAAAGATGAAAGAATGATTAATAATGCAATCTTTATAGTATGATACAAATTAAATGAGGAATAATCACAAAATTAATTAAAGAAATTATGGATAGAGAAGAGGGCCCAAAGTGCCTCCATGTACCAACTAACATAAAACATACCTAACTATAATTTGCTGTACATTTTATCCAAAATTATGGACCTAACAAAATAAATTGTACCAAAAAACAGTTCATCAATTTTTTTTTTATATTCTTCATCTGGTGTCTAGTTCCCACATTGGAATCTGATTAATTTGGATTCGTGTTGCATAGATCCTATTCAAAAGAAATAACGCTCCCTATCGAGTGTTTTTTCATAACTAAGACTTCAATTCGAAACATCTGATTAAGGAAGAAATAACATCATCTAGTGCACTAGATCCTTCTGTCATTGTTCATCACATTTGCAAGAAACATATCAAATAAAAAATCTTATTATGTTTTGTTTGACCAAAATTGTTGAGATCTTTCATTGGCAATGCACATGCCATTTTTTCTTCACCTTTATATATGCCATTAACTTGATTTGAAAAGGGGATTTGTCACTACTTCACTTGTCTTTATTCTCTCATATTTAGATTAATTTCACATAAAAACAAACTTAGTATAAATTGCATGAATGTCATAATTCATGACATTAATTTGTGTAACAAAATTGATATTACAACTGTTTCTATATTTAGTAGTAAACCTAAATAAAAATAGTCAAAGATTTGAATAATTAACCACAAATATAACAACTAATTAAGCTTCCACACAATCAAAAATTGCCAAGTTATCTATTTTAAGATCTGAATTATTAAAAAACCTAAAAAAAACAGATAAACTCAATGAACAAGACCTAAAAACAAACATAAGCTTTTTCTAAAATTAAGCTTTATACATCATATATCTGAAATTGTTCCAAAGTAAATCAACATTTCAAAAAAAGTAAAAGCAAATATATGTAAAATAGCAATGTCCAAATAAAAATACCCCTAAAATTTTCGTGCTAATCTTATCTTACCTTATCATTTTTAATTACCAAAAAGGAAATATTGGGGCGGTTTGTGGTCAATTTAATCACCATAGGATATAAAAATTGATGTGAATTAAAACTAATATGAGCACGTTTACAATATACATATTTACATAATGTTAGTGACAAATTAAGAAACAATTATACATCTTTCATTTTAATGCACACTAATTGATACTCCACTTTTGCAAGAATCAATTTTTGTTATTGTTTTTAACCCCCCCCCCCCCCCTCACCCCACACCC